AATTTAGGGGAACGTTCCCCACCCACGTGTGACCCCGCAAATTTAAATTCAGCTTCCCTGTACCCGAGGATAACACGTACGGCCCCGTGAAAGTTTTTTACGGCTAAATTAATATCTCGGGAACCATGGAGTCTGGGAGGCTGAAATTTTAGGGTAATGATCCTCTGCCCACGCTCAACCTTTCACATTCAAATTCAGCGTTTCCGTACTTTCAGGTATCACCTACGGGCTAGCGAAAATTTTGGCAGATAAACTATTAACTCCAGAATCACGGAGTGTAGGAGGCTAAAATTTTAGGGTAATTACCCCTTGCCCATTCAAATTCAGCATTCTCGCGCTCTCGGGTGCCACCTGCGGGCTAGTGAAAATTTTGGCGGGTAAACTATTAACTCCGGAATCATGGAAAGATATTCGTCCTTCAAGGTTTCGAATTCACCTTTCAAGCGCTGGTGCTTGAAATTTTTAACTGTTTTCCAATGTTTGAACTATTTTTGCACAGACTGAAGTACAAAACAGTGAAAATCATTAATAGGCAATCGATCGATGGGCTGAATTGCACAAAACGCATGGTCGCACCGGCTAGTCTGGTGCGCGTTGCTATTTATTTGTTTTATCGCAAGTATGTTCTGTTTATAGTGGAATACGGTATACCGTGTTTGGATTTTTTGAAATAATGAGCGGTCTTATGTGTTTAGACAGTTGGAGGATCTTATCCGTGCCGAATGGATAACAAAAATCGAGCGTCGGAAGCTGTCACACTATCAGCTGTATGAAATGTCTGCAAAAGAGCTTGGTAATGTTTTGACCATTTAAATTGAACAGCAGTTACCAAGAAAACAATGCACTTTTTTGATGGTGAAGTTCTTTTTGAACTGAAAATGAATGTAATTTGGATTTTAACTTAAATTCCAAGTATTGAAACCCCGACAGTCGCATTTAGTGATGATAGTTCCGGGCAACAGCGCTTCTCCAGTTGTAGTCGCTCGCTGGCGTGAGGAGGAGTGATTTCTGTTGTAATTTGTTTGAGAGAAATAAACTAATGGCGCTTCCGTTCTGTTCTTTTCTAGGTACACTATTATTAATTTATCACAGAAAAGAATATCGCTGGTTTTCATAGCTAGCAGTTCCAGTTACTGATTGCTTTGAGCTAGTGGAATTTTTGTTACATATGATGAAAAAAATATTCACTGATGAAAAAATATTCACTGATGAAAAAAATATTCATAGATGAAAGATGAAAAAATATTCATTTTGAAAATATTTATGAAAAAATATTCATAGGTGGAAAAAAATTCATTAGATGAAAAAAAAAATATTCATTTTGGCAGCGTCGTAGGTTAACGTAGAGTGTACTGGGCGATAACTGAAAAATTAATCTGTTGCCAGCATTGTCGTGCTGTTCAGATACAGTCCTCGTTGTCACCACAGTTTAGGCTTAAGCTGAATGCAGCATTCGTGCCAATTGTTTTCCGTGTAAGGGAGATTGGGATTTAAAGATAGAGCAGTAGAACAGCGTTTTAATAGCCATTTATAATTTTGGTTATATGACTCTTAAAGACGCAATAATAAAAGTAATAGTGAGAAATTATTGACCAGCACACCGACTACCGGTGCTAAGGTGCACTTTTTGCATAGTTCCCGCAGGTCTTTGACGTTGACAGTACTGTTTTTCTGGCAGATGTTTCTAGCTAAAAGAATGGAAACTGGCCACTACTACTGTCAGGAAACATCCCCTAAAAGTTTTTTTTAGCTTTTCTGGTCTCCAATTAGTCTTTACGAACCCGTCCGTGAGAGCCACGCACACCTGGGACTGGATTTGAAGTCATTAAGCGCTGCTTGGGTGGAGAACATCCCCCCTTAAAATTCCAGCTTCCCAGTTTTCCTGGCTACCGAGTTAGTAACGTACTGGCTAGAAATTTTCGCAGACTCACACGTGAGAACCACGCAACCTGAGAGTCATCTGACTGTACGTGGCCATGAAACATCCCCTTAAAATTTCGGATTTCTAGCTTTTTTGATTCCCGAGTTAGCAGCTTACCCGTATATGTGTGTGGATTAATTTCGCAAAGTTCCAGCCTTGTAGCTTTTGTAAGTCTCGAGATGAAAACTCGGCACAGACGCACGCATAGATACACATACACACACATACGCATACAAATAACCCCTCGATAACTTCTTTTTTGCGTGGGTGCAAAAAAATGCGTAAAATTTAGTAGTATTAATGGCGATAAAAAAGCGATTGTTTAGGCTCGATGCTGAGTTGTGATGGTGAAAAAATGTATGAGGCGGTACGGATGTTGCCATTTATGAATGTCGATGCAGCAATTAAACCTATCACAAAGTATGGCTTTCTGCTTACTTTTTTTTTCCATTTTAGATCTTTGATGCACCTTTGCACCACTGGTGCAATTGGTGATTTCTTCATAATTTTTGTGTCCGAAGCCGAAATCTGCGGTTCTAGTTGTTGCTAAACTGCCCGTTGCTGCTGCTCTTACTGTCGCTGCTGCTGAAGTTTTTTTCCTTGCTTTTGTTTTTTGTTCTTTCCATGAGAAATGATAATTATAT